AGATTCAACGAACTGCCGAAATAGGCACACAGGCCGAAACGCGCGGTTCTTAAATTTCTACCTAGCAACCTTCACGCTCGCGATTCAAGAAGCACACGTACAATCTCGTTTCCCTTCTATTTAAACTCAACTTACTTCTGCTAAAATTTGAATAGACTGCGCGTTCTACTACAATTTACATACTCTGGCATTGGCAATTCTAGGGGAAAGTAAAGGCTTGACAGGAAAGATAGCTTAAACATAAAATAAATGTTAGTTAAAATAAATATAAACCCTACAAATGAATATTTGTTGAACTTTGGATTATTTATTAAGAATTTGATTTACGGACAGTAATAACACTAACTAATTTTGATTTCAATTATGGAAGAAGTTAAACGATTTAGAGGTGGTTTAAGAACAAATTTTACTAAGACTGCGAATAATTTAGATGAACTTTTAAAGGTCCATACATTTGATTTAGATAAGATTACGGTTCTTTTCGCTCAACTTGAAGATAAATGGCGAAAGATAAATACTTTGGATAAACAGGTATTAGAGTTATTGTATAGTAAAGATACCAAGTGTTCTAATGAAGAATTTGAAAAAGAAATCGAAACCACTGAATCATACAATGATAAATTTTTATATTTTAAAACGAAAGTAACTAGACTTGAACAGAACTTTAGTGAAAGGGAAAATATTTTACCCAAAGATAAAAATGAAGCTGTTGAACGGAAATTTAAACTTCCTAAAATTGAATTAAGAAAGTTTAATGGCGAGACAAAAGAATGGTTCGGATTTTGGGGCCAGTTTAGAAAAATTCATGAAGGTCAGGAAATAGACCCCGAAGATAAATATCAGTAGTTACTACAATGTACGGAACCTGGATCTAAAGCTAGAGATCTTGTAGAGAGTTTTCCACCTACTTCTGAAAATTATAATAAAGCTATCGAATATTTGAAAGATAGGTTTGGAAGAGACGATCTTTTGGTTGAAGTTTATGTGAGGGAACTACTCTGTTTAGTGATGAAAATTAGTAGTAATTCTGCGAATAAAATTTCTGTGTTTAATATGTATGATAAAATAGAAACACATTTACGTGCGTTAGAAAGTTTAAAGGTTACAACCGAGAAATATGCCGCTATGTTGTATCCTCTTGTTGAAGCCTGTTTACAGGATCATATTTTGAGAATATGGGAAAGAAATTTAGCCTCAGCTGACAAAGGTATTTCAACAAACAAATTAGAACTTTTGATGACATTTCTGAAGAAAGAAGTTGAAGGTGAAGAGAGAATAACAATGGTCAGACAAGGGTTTAATGTAGAATGTCGATCACAAACGAAATCATTTCCGAAACATAAACATGGAGGGAGGAATGAAATACCGACAGCTGCGGGACTTTTAAACAACGAATCGACATAAGCAAAACCTACAATAAATGGAAATTGTATTTTTTGTGGTGAGAACCACGACTGTGTAGAATATAAATCTAAAGATGTATGTCTTTAGATCAAAGAAAACAGATTTTGTTAAAAAAAAAGGTGTGTGTTTTACTTGTTTAACTCCAGGTCATTTATCTATAGATTGTAGAAAATTTATTAAGTGTACAAAGTGTTTTAGCAAACATTATTTGCTTATGTGTCCCAACGTAAGTGAGTGTGCAGGGAAACCGAAAAGGATAAACATGATCAAAAGACCCAAATTACAGGGCATACTCTGACGAATCAGACAAGTATGCCTGAAGTATTGATGCAAACTCTGAAGGTCCGAGGAAATCAGAATCAACAGCTTATTAGAGCCCTCGTTGACACTGGGTCTCAAAAATCATTATATTACGAAAGAACTGGCATCAGATATGGGGTATAACCCAGTGGGTGAAGAAAAAATGAAACATAGTCTTTTTGGAGGTACAGAATTAGTGCAGTAACATAAAAAATATCGCGTGATAATAAGTAATATAGAAGGTACTTATAAATATAATTTTGAAGTTAATGACCAAAAGGAAATATGTGCTGCTGTAAAGAGTGTGACAAACGGAGAATGTGGAGGAAAGAACTTAGACGACAAGGAAATATGGCTGATTATAATAAAGAGTGAACAAGTGATTACAATAAGGAGGAAAGATCCTCTACTACAACCTACAAAAACACAACTTCTTATTGTGGCAGATATTGCTAGGAAGCTGATGACTGGCAGAGTGAGGAAATTGAAATGCGGATTAACTGCAATTGAAACTTATTTAGAGTGGACAGTAATAGGAAAATTACCAAAGGTGTATACACATGAAGATGCTGTTTCTGTTTTATCCTTGTTCATTAATGAAAGTGCGGTTGCCGATCTTTGGAAGCTTGAAGCTATTGGTATCACCGATCCTCCAGAAAGCCTTCTGAAACAAGACTTGTGTTGGCGCCTGATCGTTTATTGATCGTCTGCTATGCGAAACCTTCCGCCTCTAACTTAGTTGCCTAGTAACGAATCTTGTAACGTGCATGCGTCATTATCGTTTGTTTTTGCAATTCTTTTTTATTAGCTTGTTCGATGAGAAATTTGTTGCTTGGATTTTTAAATGGCTGCTAATTGAATTTTCGAATAGAATAAAAGATGGATTTAAAAGAAAATTAGTTTCGTTATTTCGTAGCTACAGTCCATAACAGTGGTCCTTCTATGCCGGATGGATTTGGCTAAATGAATTTTTGTTTCGAACGCTAAAAGCAATAAAAACTTTAGTTTGACCGTGTATTAAAAACGAAAATGGCTAACGCAGATGATGAACTGAATAGTAGAGATAATTAATTCTACGTATTGTTACTGCAGGAAAAACTAAAAGTGCTGAATTGATCTCGTGGAAACTTTAAAACTAGGAATACGAAATTGGAATCCTTTTTGAAAGATTCAAATTTGAATGCTGACAAAATGCGCTTTCAAATCAAATTGGATATGGTTTCGGGCATGTTATCTCATTTCGAATCGTTGCAACTGGAATATTATGATGTTATTGATGATGTAAATTTATCGAGTGTGGATTTAGAATTTGAAGAAATGAAAGATCGTTTGGAAGAAATAAAGGTAAGCTTACAAACGTTACTATTAAATTCAGATTTAGTTGATAAATCTTTAACGAATAATATTAAAGATCCTAATTCTATTTCTATTAAGTTACCTGATATAAGCTTACCAGAATTTGACGGTTGTATTGAGAACTGGAGTAATTTAAAAAAACAGTTTGATTAGAAATAACTCTTCTTTAAATAATATTCAAAAATTGTTCTATTTGCATTCTGCATTAATAGGAGACCCAAAAGCTGTAGAAACTCCAGAAGACAGTTTTCAATCTTTATTTGAGGTTTTAATTGATAGATATGAAAATAAACGGTTGATTGTTAATTCTCATATTATGAATATTTTAAATTTTGAGAAAATACATGTTGAATCTTATAAGAGTCTTAGAAATCTAGTTGATGTTTTGAACAAAAACCTAAGAGGTTTAAACTTAATGAAATTAGAAGCTAATGAACTAACACATCAATTCCTTACAAATATTGTCATTCAGAAGTTAGATAAAGAAACAAGAAAACAATATGAAATGAGTTTAACATCGACTGAATTACCCAAATTCGGAAGGTTCATGGAATATTTAGAACAAAGATCCCAAATGTTAGAAAATTTACATGGAGTTCAATTACCGTGATTAAAAAATAAAACTTCTTATACAAATAAAACCAGAAATTTCCTATTAAAGTCGAACAGCAATTCCTGCATATTGCGTAAAATGTCACATATGGTATATAGTTGTTCTTTGTTTTTAAAAATGATTCCATTGCAAAGATTTAATATTTCTAAAAAACATGCACTTTGTATAAACTGTTTAAGTGATAAACATAAACTTGCATCATGCAAATCCAAATATTCTTGTCGTTTATGCCAAGGAAAGCACAATTATCTATTGTGTTCGTCTGAAACTAAAAAATTCCTTGTGTGAAAAAACACCGCCAGATCAAGATATTTCGCCAAGTTTGCAGTCAGAAAATCTTCCCATTTCAGAGACTGCAGAGCCTCGTAATACGCAAAGCAAAAAATAACTCTGTTTCGCCTGATGTGATAAAAAATCCAAACTTAACTGAAGTGGTAAAGACTTTTGCATCTTTAAATAAAATGTCAAACAAAACAGTTTTGCTTTTTACAGCCATGGTTTTGCTTTTTACAGCCATGGTTTTTACAGCCATGGTTTTTACAGCCATGTTTGGTCACCGATTCGAAGCGATTATATTAGCGGCAGAGCGATACTGGACAGTGCATCTCAATCGCATTTTATGACCTCGCAATTCGCTTCTTCGCTTGGTCTTAACAAACATAAGGTAAATATTCCTGTTAATGGTTTAAGTGGAAATACGATGAATATTAAATGCGTTCTTATTAGTAATAATGACTCTTCTTTCAACTCAGTAATAGACTTTCTCGTTGTACCTAAAAGAACAGACTTTGTAGCTGCTACCAGAATAAATGTAGAAAATCTGAAAATACCTAATCATATATACTTAGCAGATCCAGATTTTGACAAGCCAGGAAGGATCGACCTCATATTGGATGCTGAACGTTTTTTCGAACTAGTGAAGGAGCGAAAGATTCGATTATCTAGTACTTTTCCAAGATTCAATCTTCGGATTTATTCCTAGTGGATTTGTTGAAACTGAAAATTCACATCAATATTGTGGGCTAATCTCCCAATCGGAAAGTCTAGAAGAATGTGTACATAAATTTTGGCAAATCGAAGAAATAGTCAACGAGCCCCTTAAAAGCGAAGAAGAGGAGTTTTGCGAATTGCATTATCAGAAAACACATGGGAGATATGAGAGTGGGCGTTTCATAGTACAAATGCCTATTCGAGAAGAAGCACTTTAGGTGATTCAAGAAACATTGATAATAAACGTCTTAATCAGACGAATAAAATGTTAAATGAAAACCCAGACCTAAAAAGACTTTATACCGATTTTATAAATGATTACGAAAGCTTAAATCATATGGAAAGGGTTGATCAAGAAACTCCTCCACCCGTTACTTTCTACCTTCCTCACCATGAAATTTACAAACCTGAAAAATCATCTACGAAATTGCGCATTCTGTTTAATGCATCAGCTCCTACTACTACAGGATTGAGTCTGAACGACATTTTACTCTCAGGAGAGGTTAAAAAAGATATATTTCATTTAATTGTTCGATTTCGTAAACATAAAATAGCACTGGTCGCAGACATTAAACAAATGTTTAGACAGATTTTAATCGATTCATCGCAAAGGAATCTTCTACGTATCTTATAGAAAGAGCATGAAGACGACTCACCTATTATTTTTAGATTGAATACTGTAACGTATGGGACTAAATGTGCTCCATTTCTAGCTATAAGAACTGTAAAACAGTTAGGTCTGGATGAACAGCAGAAATACCCTTTAGCTTCTGAAGTGATTCTTTCTGACGTCTATATGGACGACATAGTTACAGGAGCCTCTGATTTTGAGTCTGCTATTGAATTAAAGAATCAACTAAATAAAGATATTCGAAAGCTGTGGAATGTCTTTACACAAATGGTCAATCTAACTCTAAGAGTGTATTAGATACTTTATTATCTAAGGAAGAGCTTCACTTTGATTCCACTTAATTTACGAAAACTCTTGGCATAATTTGGCAACCGGAATCCGACATCTTTACTTTTAAAGTCGCTTTCCAAGGCAAGTCATCTTTTACGAAAAGAGATGTCCTTTCAGTCTTTGTGCGGTTGTATAATCCTATTGGCTTTATCGGGCCAGTCATCTGTAAAGCAAAAATATTCCTTCAGAATCTATGGTCTTTAAAACTGAATTGGGACGACGAATTACCTGCACCTATTTGCCAGTGAATGGAATCGTTTCATTTTAAAGTTAAAAGAATTGGAAAATCTTAAGATAGGAAGATATGCTCTGCATTCTACAACTCATAAAAGGGCTATCGTGGGTTTCTCCGATGCTTCAACATCTGCGTATGGAGCAGTGGTCTACCTAAATGCCACTCAAGATAACCCTTGTTTAAAGTTACTGGCAAGCAGATCTCGACTAGCCCCATTAAGAACTCTATCTTTACCACGCTTAGAACTCTCGGCCTGTCTTCTACTTGCTAAGCTTGTTAAAAAAGTTCTGACTTCGCTGAATATAGACGTTGAAAAGGTAACATTATATTCGGATTCGACAAGTGCATTAGCGTGAATAAACGTTTCGTCACATCTACTCAAAACCTTTGTTGGGAATCGCGTTGCGAAAATTCAGTCTTTATCAGAAAACTTTGAGTGGGAACATATCCGTTCTAAATAGAATCCTGCCGATTTGGTTTCTCGTAGAGTCGAGCCTAGTGAGCTTTTATCTTCAGAATTATGGTTCAATGGACCTTCTAATCTTGACATGAATGTTATAGAAAAGGCTAGTTTGGATGTTAAGGACTATGAACTTTACGAATGTGAAATGAAAAATCTCCAGAAATTTCTCTTAGTATTACTTCTAGTGCTGATTTCATTAACTATTTTCTTTCTTTAAGTAATAGTTTTGTTAATCTAATTTGTATTCTTAGTTTTATTTATAGGTCGACAAGGTAAGAGGCCATCAGGTCCTATTACTAGAGATGAATTTACGTATGCCAAGCTAGCAGTGGTAAGGCTAGTACAGCGAATAGTATTCAAAGAAGAAATTCAAGCCCTTAGATATGGTAAAATTATAAAGGATAGTCACTTAAGTAATTTAAATCCTTTCGTCGAGGAAAATGGAATACTTAGGGTAGGTGGAAGATTAAATAAATCCTCTTTATCCTATGACCAAAAGCATCCTATTCTGCTGCCTAGGGATCATAACTATTATAATTACGTGATACTTCCATTTAAAAAATTTACATGTTGGTACTCAGACTTTGCTGCATTGTGTTTCGACAGGAATTTTGGCAACTAAACGGCAGAAACACTGCTCGTAGAATAGTACATAATTGCATTATCTGTTTTAAAAATAAACCTAAAATAGCCCAACAACTTATGGCACCATTGCCGAAGGAAAGAGTTTCTGTCAGTCCACCTTTTTCCGTAACTGGAATTGATTTATGCGGTCCTTTTTACGTAAAATATAAAAATCAACGAAGTGGTACCTTAGATATATGTTGTTATCAAAACGCCTCAAGGACTGATAAAACATGGAATATCGAACCTATGTATTTTACCTATGAACGATTGCAGTGAATTTATCTTATAATTACTTATATTAATATTGCATATCTATTTTATTGTAAAATGTAGTAATTTGTTTGTTATTGTTTAATAGATATATTATTGCATTTAATTGTTTCTAACTGATTATATGTATCAAACTTTGAATTTCTTAAATGAGTTATAGTAGCTTTGAAATTAGTATTTCAACGTCGGGCGGGATGTTGGCGCCTGGTCGTCTGTTGATCGTCTGCTATGTGAAACCTTTCGCCTCTAACTTAGTTGCTTAGCAACGAATCTTGTAACGCGCATGCGTCAATATCGTTTGTTTTTGTAATTCTTTTTTATTAGCTTGTTCGATGAGAATTTTGTTGCTTGGATTTTTGAATGGCTTCTAATTGAGCGGTTAATTTTCGAATAGAATAAAAGATGGATTTAAAAGAAAATTAGTTTCGTTATTTCGTAGCTACAGTCCATAACAACTTACAAGCGGCTACGTTGTATAAATTTCGCGAAACCATAAAAACTAGATGAAGATGGTAGATATATAGTATCGCTGCCGTGGTTAGAAATACATCCGCTAATTTCTAATTGTCGAGAACTCTCTGAAAAAAGACTTGTGACTACTGTTCGTAAACTTGTTGCTAACGGTCACTTGAATGATTATCAAGAAGTTTTTAAGGACTGGATTCAAGGTATTGTAGAAGAAGTTCCATTGCAAGATCAAGTCAGACTCTATTTACCGCATCATCCAATAAAGCATTCTTCCTCTACTAAAATCAAACCAGTATTCGACGCTTCAGCACATGAAAAGAATTTTGTTTCTCTCAATTCTTGCTTAGAAAAGGGTCCCAATCTGTTAGAACTGATACCTTCTATACTCTTACGATTTCGATTGAAAAGATACGGAGTAACAGCTGATATACGTCAAGCCGTTTTGCAGATAAATTTGGATCCACAAGGATAGAGATTATTTGAGATTCTTGTGGTATGAAGATGGCAATCCAAACAATTTAGTGATCTATAGACATTGCAGAGTACCATTTGGAGTAACTTCAAGCCCTTTTTTAATAGGTGCTACTATAGCATATCACTTGGATAATGTCGAAACGGCCAGGAAATTGAAAGAATCATTTTACGTCGATAATAGCGAGACCAGTTTCAACAGTTTTGAAGAAGTTGAGAAATTCATGAATTTGGCAAAACTGATAATGTCAGATGCTAAGTTTGAGCTTCGGGACTGGCAGTACAATACACTTGAAAAAAATGATGATCCTGGATTATTCTCAGAAACTCAAACTTATTTAAAGGCAAGCGAAAATACAACAAATTGTATTTCTGTATTGGGCATTGTATGGGACGTAAAGGAAGATACTCTCAGTTGTAACACAAAAACATTTCCTGCTCAAGAAGTACCATTAGTAACGAAAAGGAAAATTTTATCCTTAGCACAAGCGATTTTCGACCCGATTGGATTCTCTTGTGCTTTGACACTGCTGCCGAAATTATTATTGCAAGAATGTTGCAGATTAAAACTCTCGTGGGATCAAGAAGTGCCAAAGAAGATTTAAAAGAAGGGTAATTTATGGCATAGTCAAATTCTTGAATTGAAAGATATTAAAATTCCTCATTGGATTGCGAAACACTCTCAAATTTATGAACCTGATAAACAGAGTCTGCACGTATTCTTTGATGCCAGCAAAATGGCCTATGCTGCATGCATATTTATTAGAATAGAAAATAATGAAGGCATACATTGTCAGTTAGTGCAAGCTAAGTCCAGAATAGCTCCAATGAGAGTGACAACCATCTCTCGCTTAGAGTTATTAGCTTGCCTAATTGGTGCTCGACTAGCTGCAGTGGTAAGAAGAGACTTACATCTAACGAATATTAAAACTTTTCACTGGACAGATTCCAGCAATGCTCTCTGTTGGATTAAACGAGAAGCCGTTTGGGCTACCTTCCTGGCCAATAGAGTAAACGAAATTAGAAAAACAAGTAGCATAAATGATTGGTATCACATTCCAGGTTCACAGAACCCAGCAGATATAGCTCCAAGAGGATGTACAGTACGACAATTAGTGAAGGCTCAGTGGTGGAACGGGCCAGAATCGTTGAAGGGAAACTTAAGGATTGACACTTATTATGAACTAGTGCAACCTGACGAATCAGTAATAAATTCGGAGGTAAGAAAATGTGCCATAACAGCTACCAATGTTATAAATACAAGGGATTTATTCTACAACAGATATTCTTCATATAAAAAGATAGTAAGGATAATAGCTTGGATAAAACGATTCGGCAAAAATGCCAGAAATTTACCTAAAGATCGTATCTTCGGTAACATTACTTTTGCAGAATATGCAGAAGCAGAAAATATTCTTTTAAAATTAATCCATGAAGAAAGTTTTGAATCTCATGAAGACAGAACAATCGTATCATTGCAACCTTTTGTGGATGAGAAAGGACTGATACGAACCACGACAAAAATCTCTCAGAGAAACGACAGTAGAAAGTTTTGATTTCCGATAATTCTTCCTCCCAACCATGCTATTACCAACCTGTTAATCGAGGAAAAACACGAGGAAATTCCCATGCAGGTATTCAAGCCTTAATGGCAATTCTGAGAGAACAATTTTGGATTCTCAAATGCCGGCGTACAGTTCGTCATGCGCAATAAAAAACTGTGGTCGCTGTAGACGGTTTAAGGTAACCAGTTTTGACGTAAACCCCATACCATTACCAGAGAAGAGAGTAACAGATTCTGCAGTTTTCCAGATTATGGGTGTCGATTTGGCTGGACCTTTATACCTTCGAGGCCAGAAGAAGATATGGATAGTTATATTTATATGTGAATATATCAGGCAATACACATTGAAATTGTTATTACTCTATCCAGAGAAGCATTTATGCAAAGCCTGAGAAAATTCATAGCTCGGAGAGGAAGACCAAGTATTATATATTCAGACAATGGTTGTTGTACCTCTCATCATACAGCGAGGATACGTCTGGCAACAACTGCAGGAAGAAAAACTTGGCAATGCTGGAATGGCAACAGCGGATAATATTCTATAGATTTTTTTTTTTTTGAGTCGATGTTTCCTTTGCGATACTATTGCGTTAAAACATTTGAGTTTTGGGCGAATGAAATGGAATCCGCTGTCCCGCTACGGATATTAGCAAAATATATTTAGAAAATTAGCTGTGTTGGAAAGGATGAAACCTTGTGTTTGAATTTGCGGTAACTTTCCTTCTAAAGTTGCGTCGAATTCAGAATATTATGCCAGGCTTATTCACGCTGGTGCAGATAAGTTCAAATTTTGTTTATTGTGTTTATAGTGTATAACTTGCAAATATATGAATAGAATTCTATAAAATAAACATTTAAAATTCTGGAATGGTGTTTTAAAATTTTAGATTAGAGTATTCACATTGCTATGTCGGAGCCAGTGGCAGTCAGGTGTAAAGTAAAATTGTTTTTGCTCCCCGACATAACAAAATGGCGAGCCAGCCAGGATTGCGATCCTGATTCGAATGTGTTGGGATTATTATATTAATATAGTTGAGAAGTATTGTGTTTGCTATATTATTGTAGAAGTAAATGTTAATTTAAGTGTTATTTGGAAACGTAATGCGTTTTATCGTCTGCAATGTTGAATATCGTATTTGTATTCGAATTAGTTTATATTTTCAATCGAAATGCTATGCGTTAAATCGTCTGCAGTGTAAACGTAGAAAAGATTATCCGTTAAATTTTCTGCGCTGAAATTCAAAATAATTTTATTTTGCTGTATTATGAATTGTTATTCATATTGTTATTCATTTTTATTACATTGAGTTATATTTTTGGAATTGCTGAGAAAAGACGTTTTCGAGGATTTGTCGGATTGATGATAACATTACAGATTTTGAGTTTTAAGTGGGTCTGCATTTAAAGATAAAAATGGATGTTGATATGTTGAAGAAAAAGCGTGCAACGGCACGCAGTGCCTTTACTAAGACGGCTAAGATTCTAAAAACTGAAATTTGTAAAGATATTCAAGCGGATAGAGATGTATTGAAAGACAAAATTTCGAAATTGCAGATGATAATTGATGAGTTGAGATCTTGCGATTCAGAAATACTAGATTCGATGATTAAGGGAAAAGCCGCTGAAGATGATCTGGAAACAGAGGTCATAGGCTACGAAGAATATTCAGATGAGTTTATCACGTTTAATCGTCGGGTGAAAGAGAATATAGATAATACGGTTGACCGTAGTGTCAATACGAGTTCTAACACGGATAGTAGCATAAGTGCTTCTAATGAAAAACGGTACAAGCTGCCGAAAATTCAAATTAAAAAATTCGATGACAATTATTAAGTTACCTTACATTTTGGGGTCAATTTAAAAGGATCCATGAGGATAAAGAGCTTAATGACGCTGACAAATTCCATTATTTAGCTCAATCAATGTTACCCGGAACTCGGGCTAGTGAGTTGATAGATAGTTATCCTTTAACGGCTGAAAATTACCCGAAAGCCATTTCTGCGTTTGAGGAGCGTTTTGGAAACAAGGAAATTTTAACTGAGATATATGTGAGGGAATTGTTAAAATTAATTATCCAAAATGTACGCTCACAAGGGAAGGATCGGTTGCCACTAGTGTCACTGTTTGACAAAATCGAATACCTTCTCAGATCTCTAGAGTCTTTAGGGTTAGCCCTGGATACTAATGTTTCCTGGTTATACCCCATGGTCGAGTCTTGTCTGTCTGCTGAGATGCTTCGAGTATGGCAGAGAAGCGTTTTGTTCAGTAAAGAAGGATCACGTCTCACAAATCTCCTGGAATTTTTGCGTAAAGAGGTCGAAGGAGAGCAGAGAGAAAGAGGAAGAAACTAGCCAGGTCTGAATTTGAAATTTCTTCTACTTCGCGAAATGAACATTCTAAAGATGTAAAAGTTAAGACCAAAAAACCAATCGTTAGCGCAGCAAGTCTAGTTGCTGCCAAAGAACAAAAATGTGTTTTTTGCGGAAAATCTCACGAAAGCAAAGCATGTTTTACAGCTCGATCGATATAAGATCTTGCGTAAGTCGATGTGTAGTATGTAGGAGATTTACCGCTAAGGTTTTATCTACCCCTCCGATCCAGTTACTCCTTGACAGAATAAGAGATTCGGCAGTCTTTGAAACAACTGGAGTCGATCTTTGTGGACCATTACTTCTGAGACCAAAGAGTAAAGCTTGGATTGTCTTGTTCACCTGCGCCGTATACCGGGCAATTCACCTGGAGCCTTTCACCTCTCTGAGTACCGAAACGTTTCTACAGGCTCTGAGACGGTTCATTGCCAGACGAGGCCGTCCTGCGACAATGTATTCAGATAACGGAACCAATTTCACCGGAGCAGACAATGCTCTGAGATGCCTGGATTGGAGAAAAATCATAGAAAACGAGTGTTTTCCAATAAAATGGAAATTCACCCCCCCTACGGCTGCGTGTTGGGGGGGAGCGCTTAGTTCGTTCCACCAAGACTCTTCTCGTGCGAATTCTAGGAAGATCGTCGGTGAATTTCGAGGAGTTACTGACCGTCCTGTGTGATGTTGAATCCACATTAAACAACCGTCCTTTAACATACATCTATGATGATTCGGAAGAGCTCGTACCTCTGACACCTTCCCTGTTTTTGCAAGACATAAAACAAGTAGGGGTACCAGATCTGGATTACATCGATTCCCAGAAACTGAATGTGCGTGTAAATTACTGCAATACGTTGAGACAAGAACTGAGAAGTCGCTTCCGCAAGGAATATCTGGCTCAACTAGTGCAGAAGGCAAGCGCTTCATGTCAAAACCTAAAGGTGGGGGATGTAATCCTCATAGAACTAGACAATAAAAAACGTGTAATGTGGCCAATGGGCAAAATTGTAAAAATATTCAGTAGCAGAGATGGGCCTACTAGAGTGGTACAGGTAAAAACAAGCAGTGGATATTTGGTAAGACCAATCAAAAAACTGTATCCACTAGAAGTTTCAACTACCAGTGATCCTGTGCTAACTCTGGCAACTGAAAACAGATCTAGATACCGTAGACTCTTAAAACCAAGGACATGCTCATAGAAATAATGTACAATATAGACGTTTTGGACTTATATCCTCTTTTCTTTAGCAATGACTTTAATTAGAAGTTTATTCTTTATTGATCTCATTTTAGTAATATCTGTCATATATATTGTATGTTAACAGAGTTTCTTTTATGTGTTTTCTAAACTAATACATAGTACTGTTTTGTTTTATTCGTAATGTTAGAAAACTTTCTGCAATGTCTGATTTTGAGAAAATCAGGGTGGGAGGATGTTGTACCTCTCCTCATACAGCGAGGATAAGTCTGGCAACAGCTGCAGGAAGAAAAATTTGGCAGTGCTGGAATGGCAACAGCGGATGATATTCTATAGATTTTTTTTTTGAGTCGATGTTTCCTTTGCGATACTATTGCGTTAAAACATTTGAGTTTTGGGTGAATGAAATGGAATCTGCTGTCCCGCTGCGGATATTAGCAAAATATATTTAGAAAATTAGCTGTGTTGGAAAGGATGAAACCTTGTGTTTGAATTTGCGGTAATTTTCCTTATAAAGTTGCGTCGAATTCCGAATATTATGCCAGGCTTATTCACGCTGGTGCAGATAAGTTCAAATTTTGTTTATTGTGTTTATAGTGTATAACTTGCAAATATATGAATAGAATTCTATAAAATAAACATTTAAAATTCTGGAATGGTGTTTTAAAATTTTAGATTAGAGTATTCACATTGCTATGTCGGAGCCAGTGGCAGTTGGGTGTAAAGTAAAATTGTTTTTGCTCCCCGACATAACAATGATACTAACTTTATGTGAACTAATAACCTTTTCCAGAAAATTAATTGGAAGGAAGTGGAGGGAAAAGCCACGATTAAAAAAATTAAATGGAAATTTAATACTCCTACAGCGGCATGGTGGGGAGGATGGTGGGAAAGTCGGATTAGACTTATAAAGGGCATGTTGAAGAGTATTTTAGGCAGGGCAAGCCTAGATTACGAAGAATTACTCACTGTGTTATATGAAGTTGAAAATGTCGTCAATTTCCATCCTTTGACATACATATCGGAAGACATTCAATATTTAATGCCTTTAAATCCAAATATGTTTTTAAGGGACAATGTAGAAGGTTCTACGATTGAATTTGATCACATAAATGGAACAGAGATGAATAAGCGTTGGCAGTATAGTCAAAACTCAGAGAATATTTAAGAAAAAGATTCAGACATCAAGACAATACATATGACAAGTTAAAAATTCTAAAAAAGCCAGTAAAATCAAGGAACAAGTTAAATTAGGAGAAATAGTTTTGGTTGGGAATGAAAAGAGTAAACGGATTGATTGGCAGCTAGGAAGAATAATTAAGCTGTATCCAGGGAAGGAGAGACATGTTCGTGTTGTTTAAGTAAAAGCAAGGAATGGTGACATAGTAAGACCCGTGCAGAATATTTATCCTTTAGAAATGGGTGAACAAGCAAACGAAATGACGGTTTTTCAGTCTATTCCGGATGGAAGAGTCAAAACAGATCTGAAATCTCCACCAATTATTTCCAGGAGTGGGCGAATAATACATAAGCCAAAGAGACTCGTTCTGTGATGTTGAGTACAATTCCATTGTACTCAAGGTGGGGAGATTGTTATGAAACCACGAGCTGATAGACAGAGGGCGCTGACTAACAGCGCTCGAGCAATGCAGATGTTTTTGAGATAAAAATAAACAGTTGAGAACTGATTACGGAAAAAATGATCCCATGTAAAAACAAAACGCAGAACTGTAACAAAATTATTAATGATGTATATATTATAAATAGACTGTAATAAAGTTTGTTCTAATAGCTTCACATTATTGGATTTGTGAAGATCTACCTGGCAGTCAGATTGAACGTAAGTACAAAGTAAATTCGATTTATTAATTTGATATTTTGTATTAATACGTAACGTAACATCTCCCGTAAGTTTGTCGCACTGGTAGCGAATCACCCTAGTTCAAATCAAATACAGTGTTTTACAGCCAGTTCTAGCAGGAGATAAAACCATGGTTTTTTTAGTATGATCACCTTTCAATTAGGGAAACGAAGGCGTTAAGAAAACCAGTGAACTTCCCCCAAAATGCTGTAATCTACGAAGAGATTATAACTACAATTCTTTGAGAATGCCGAGATGTCTTCACGATATACGTTAAAGAAAGGAATACGGTAGTGAATAAGGAGTAATATGCAAGCCTTCTGTATAAATTGCGCTTTGAGATTAAAGAGGAAAGGCGTGGAATGCTGAGCAAAGGAATTCATTCTCTCCATAATGATGCTCCAGTTCATATAACTATGGTTGCCAAAGAAACAATAAAGAAATACTAGTTTCAGGCGATTGATCATTCTCCTTAACACTTTAGGTTCTATATTCAAGTAAATATTATCTCTGCTATCTGTTATCCAAACTTAAATCTAAGCTTTGTGGAAAAATTAGATGAAGGAAAAGAGGTGAAGATAACAGTTATGGAATATTTTACTAACAAAACTTCAGATTCTCTGTCTAAGGTCATAGAATTTCTTACTAAAGCTGTGGAAAGTGTGAGGCAGTACGCAAGTATTGTATCACAAATAAAAAGCCCAACTGCTTTCTATTTCTTGTAGAACTGTATTAGGTAAAAAATGTTTGGATCTTACCGTGAATTTTTGTCAATCGCTTTGAAAAAATTAAATTTTTGAGTGAGAATTTGGTATTTATCATTAGGAGCCGGATATTTTGGTGCTCCACCTCAGATATATATTTACTTAGTGGAAGTTTTTAAATGAGGAAATTCTGTAGAAGATATGTCTGGAATTATGGAATACCCAAATTTATATCCACCATTTATCGCCAAATCCGACAATGTCCACCTGGTCTTCAAGTTTCCATCAAATATTGAATTTGTAACTCAACTTTCACCAAAAAATAGGACGTAAGAAAAATAAATGAAATTTTGAATGCTAGAAGTTTAAACTATTGTCAGATTTTTTATTTCTAAAGATAATTTTTTGATATAATTCAGAAGATACTTTCGGTCAAATACGCAGCTGTTGGTTTTTGATTAGCACTGAAGGCGTATTGAGTAAGTTTCCTCAGGCGTAGTTTTCATTAAAGAATCAGAAGTCAAAAAATTAATTACGAAATCTTTATTTAATAAAATAGGATAATTTTGCTTCACTTAAGCATAACAAAAAGTAATAATCTTCTCAGACATTAAAACACTGAAGTATTGAAAAGAATAACTTACATAGAATTATCATCAGTCCTAAATATCATCAGGCTTACCTATTTAGGCAATAAGAAAAAGCAGGAACAGGAATATACTTTAACACAGTACCTGAAAACAAAGTACTAACTCAATTAGACCTTTGGCCCAAGTACAAATAGCTAAGGTGAGAATCGAATGTACTCCACGTAGCTAAGGTGAAAGTCAAATATACTGCATTGCACGCGAACTTTACTTTCTCTCGCCAATATATATTTTGGCGCACGTTCGTTTCGTATGCCTTTCGAGTTTCATTATGCGGCAAAATACCTAATTTATGCTAACGTTGCTCTGTTTGCTAAACTCCTACCAACTGCAATTCATTCCTGCAAAAGTGTATACGAGCCAGTTTCCCTTAGAAAGGTCCTCCACGATGAAACCTCCCTTAAGGCAGATAGCCCCAAGTGCTTTGCCGTAATCTAATAAAAACCAAAACCAAAAACCATTCCTGCAAACTGAAATTTAGCTTTAGGAATTGGGTTAGTCATAATATCAGCAACCATTTGCTCTGTTGAAAGATAAGCAAGTTTTACTATTCCTTTGTTATTCAAGTCGCGTATATGATGAACTTTTGTATCAATATGTTTTGTGCGCGAACTGAATTTTTCAGATTCTACAAGTCTTATATAGTAGACTGATTATCTTCAAATACCTTTAGCGGTAGAGTTTGGGGTGGATTGAAATCTTCTGTTAATTTTAATAGCCATAATAGTTCTTGCGTAGCTTGCGATAGTGCAACATATTCAGCTTCTGCTGTGGATAAAGAAACACAAGTTTGTTTTCTTGAAAACTATGAAATACAGTTTTTTCAGGGGCGTAGCTAGAGGGGGGCAAGGGGGGCATCTGTCCCCGGGCGCAGAATCCAAGGGGCGCCAAACTGATGTTACGAAATTTTAGAATTAAATGTTTTCCATCCTTGGCAAGAAGTAGGGGGGGCGAAATCTTCAGTTGTCCCTGGGCGCTGAAAACCCTTGCTACGACTCTGAGTTTTTTCCTAATAACACTTCCTGATGTAGATTTTCTATCTTCAATATCTTGTCCCCAATCAGCATCTGAATAAACTGCAATATTAGGTTCTTCACTCGATGAAATTTGTACAGGATAAGATTCTTTGTCGTGTTTAAAGTATCTAATGGATTCTTTTTAACAGCATTCCAGTCTTTTTGACGTGGATTATTACACCTTCTGCTGAGTATGTGAGTTGAAGCTGTGATATCTGGTCTTGTGATAGACGATATATACAAAAGACTTCCAATAGCTTGGCGAAATTTATCATTTGAAGTTAGGAGACTTTCTTCCTTGTTTAGGTTATATTAGTTTGTTTCCATTGGTGTGCTAGCGGTTTTCTCTTCTTCAAGTTGAAATTGCTTGACAAGTTGATTTATTTTATTTTTCTGTGATAAGCGATAACGGTACTTACGTATTAACGCAACCAGGCCAAAATTCGCATAAATCGCCAAATTTGGCTACCCTACTTACGGCAACCCTACGTGTTATACGTTGTTTTGTAAAAAGAATTTATTTGTAAAAAGAAAAAATAACACTGGGCGTGTACTACCACAGCAATGGGTTTTAGGCGGAATTTGCCGAGAAAAGAAATAGACTTTTTTGGTTACTGTACCTAACAGAAGCGCCGTTATCCTCATGGAAA